AAAAAAAAAAAAAGGTAATGACCAAAACCTAAGGAATGAGTTTAAAAGAGAGTTATACAATCTACACCACTTCTAGGAATATGCCCACAGTACTCTATGTGAGAAAAACTCAAAGATCTATGCATATCACAGCATCCAGGAATATAATTAGCCTAGTTACCTATCTGAAGACTATACATACACTCATGTACATACATACAAACAGACAGACATAAAGAAGAAAGAAATTATACTCGTTAGTGCTTCAAGAAGACTGTAGCCTGGGAGCATTATATTAAGTAAAATAATCCAAAGTGAAAGACAAAATAGTACAAGTTTTCTCTAATTTATGTATCACAGAGCTTGTAGAGATATGTAAAACAATTTTTATTTATGGTATGAAATAGGAGGGATGCTAAAGAGAAGTTTCTACTAGAAACTTCCTGTATACATATACATAAAAATAGTTTAAAATTGAGTTACTCTAAAACAGGGTAATGATGACCATTCTAGACACCACAGGATAACAAATTAAAGACCGAGGACCAGAAATGGCTTTCCTTAGGTATTCATCTGGATGCTTTACTGGATGGCTTTTCATTGCCCTATAAGCTTCTATGTATATTTTTGGAGAAATAGTATTGAACAAACTATTTTTTTTGGTGTTTTTCAAGACACGGTTTCTCTTAGCTTTGGAACCTGTCCTGGAACTAGCTCTTGTAGACCAGGCTTGCCTTGAATTCACAAAGATCCGCCTGCCTCTGCCTCTCAAGTACTGGGATTAAAGGCATGCACCACCACCCGGTTAAAACAAACTCTTAATAACTTAATTTATACCCATAGATTAGGGTATCTCCTATTCCTTATCAGAGAAGCTTCTTTTGGCAGTAGATTGTGATTAACACATAGACTCACAATCCATTAAGGGGCTGAAAACAAGAGACCACAGAATGTTCATCCCTAAACAGAACATCTGTGGCATACCCTTCACCCCCAAGTCTCGAGCAGACAGTAGAAAGAGAATAAGAGCCAAAAGTGGTCAATGACAAAAGGAAACAGTGTTTTCTAGACACGGGAAGTCTCAAATGTGAAGCTTTCACGTGAGTGAAAGGTGGCAGCATTCATCAGACCTGTGTGAACTCAAGCCAGATGAAATCCCGGTACGGAGAAGGAAGATGAACATAAAGTCAGATGCCTAACTAAGGAGCTAACGATGGTTGCCGTAGGAAGAGAGAGGCTATCTTTCCTGAAACTTTCAATCCCTGATATATTGACCATGCTCGAGTCAAGGCCACAAGTCCAAGGGTATATGCACAGTATCAATTGTCTTTGATGAGCTCAATTTAAAGAAAAGTGAGAGAGTACACTTATTGAGTAAGAAGGGAATTCCCAGACAATGTATCTGGGAAGCATAGAGACTCAAATATGCCTAAAACACATTGTTAAAAATTCTCAAAGAACTCATAAAACAGAAAATAATAAATCTAGAATATATATATGACTTTTGATAATGACTAAAAGTTATGTATCATATTGATATCATTCACTACTTTAGAATAGTTGCCATTCACTAGATTTCCAGATTCTTAGGTCTAAGAACAAGAAAGTTGACAATTGTTTACAGATAATTCTTAGGAATTGTACTGGTTTAGTTACTTAGTATTGGAGAGTCTCCCCCAATAACCACGATTTCACTAGTTTTGAAGTTATCTTGGTGTCCAGTATTAAACATCTAACTGGACTCAAGAGAAACAGTTTGTGTGTACATATATATTAGCATGAGAATCTCACAAGAGGAGATACTAACAATGTCAAATCCTGTCCTATGAGTATTTTCAGCTAGAAAGTATGCAATTATTTTTAAAAAACATTTTCTTTCATACTTAGCACACAGATATTTGATTTTTGATTTATTTTGTATTATGCATTTATGCTTTCTAAAGTTTCGGTAGCTGATTTCTGAGTGAATGACTGATTTTAAAGTTTCTTTTAAATGCATTTATTTTAAGGAACAAGATGTGTTCACAAACACATTACTCTTTATTTATCTCCCAAGGGAATTTTGGGATGGCTCCAATTTAAAATACTCTATCATGTTGTTGCATCATATGTTAGGCCAATGTGTCTTTATTATTTGTTTCAGAAAAAAAAAAGTCACCGCAGATCACTCCCTACTATGCTAAAAATCTTAAGCAGAAAGAGAACAATTTATGGAAATAGAAGAGAGATGAGCAGAAGCAGCCAACTGGCACCATGTTTGGGGCTTGCATGCAAATCAGGTTCCTCTGTGCTTTCCAACACTTCCCAAAATCTTTTGAAACCATATTTAAAGCTGGATAGCAACTCTATATGAAGTCATCAGTTATATAAATACAGACAGCACTGTGTTGGGGAGAGCAATGCCAGGGATTGACAGGACCAACAGATAAAACGAAGGCAATTAAGTTTCCACAAACAGTTGACTTGGTGTTGAAACAACACTCTTCCTTGTAGACAGCAGTGTAGTAAGAAATAAATGACAATCATTCATTTCCAATACATAAACCAGGCTGGTCTAGTGAAGAAAAAAAAAGAATTCTTTTCCAGTTTTCTTCTTTCAACATGGACAAATAAATTCTTCAGTAATCTGTGGTTGAGCAAAGGTTCTTGTCTACAAAGGTTTACACAACTTTACATAACTTTTGATATTTTATCAACTTAGTATCATTCCCTCAAACTCTTCTGGCTACAGGTTTGCAAGTTTTGAAAAATACTTTTTTCTTTTGCTGCAGACTGTTTCCCAGGGATTCATTATAGATCCCTTACCAAGGACAGGAAATTAAATTTACTTAACTCCCATGTGAGCACAAAATAATCCTCTACTACTTACGTTTTATTTTCTCCCCTTCTAGAAACTCAAGTGACCTTACTTTTAAAAAGATGTGAAAAAATATTTTTTATTAAATAATGTTTTCAAATCTACAAGGGAAAATATTAAAAAGTAATGGGAGAAATTGTTCAATATAATTTTATACAAAGGTGCATATATAAATGGACAAATATATATATTTGTGAATAAATATTATAAGCATGAAAAATTATAGGTGATAGATATAAGGTAGTATAAAATTGTAGGTATTAGAAAAAAAGATTGATTGATGGTCTGTAGATGATAGATATGTTCCTTTCCAAAGCATCTGATTTTCATTGTATGAATGTTAAATTATACATGGGCAGAAGAGAGCAAATAGGAGAAATTCCCTAAAATTCACTTGAGAGCACAGTTTGTTTTATTTGTATGCACTTATAACCATCTCAAACAATTCATAATGCCCTTCTTTGATGTTTCTGGAAATAATAAAAGAAATTACAAACAACCGTAAGAGAAACTAAAAGTATCAGCCCCAGAGTGAGTTTACTATTTTCATGTGTGGTTTCTGTCTACTGGTGGGAACTGGCATTCTTTGTTTTCCAGAAATCTGTTTACTTCTTTGCCATAAACTCGAGAGATGTCTGGAGGCATAGTGTTTATTTATTTAACATTCAGTACAAATCTACTTAATATTTCCAGAATTCTCTAGGCAGTTTGTTATCACTATATACTTCTGATTGTATCTCTGCCAAAACCTTGTCTTCTTGTAGATGTTTTTTTCTGTAATCACTGAGATCTTTATGTTAGTAGAGTAGTTTTACTTACATCCTGAGAAACTCTCAACCTGCCTGGAATAATAGAGTATCATCTCATAAATGCATTGCAAGCACAACACTTCAGCCACTAAAAAAACAATATCGGTAGATTGCATAAGCAGAAAGACATGAAGAAAAGAAGCACATCACATTAATATTTTAATAGATTGGAGAAATGACTCAGTAGGTAAAGTCCTTTGCAGACACACATCAGGAGCATAGTTCAATTCGATAACCAACACCCAAATAAAAAATTGGAACTTCTGGCACACTCTTTCAATCCTTGCATAGGGAAAAATTGAGACAAGATGACTCCTGGAATTTGCTGACCCACTAATATAAAAAAGAAATCCATATTTAAAAAATGAGGTTTTGAGTGATTGAGGAAGATGCCTTACATTGCTCATTGATCTCTGGTCTCCACACACATGTAAACATGAGTGGACACACGAGAACACAAGTGTACACATACATATTCATATCACACACATACATGCATATATTTCAATATATATCTTTGAGCTACAGAAAGAAACTGACAAAGTACTTTCATTTTCGTTACCACTACTGAACTTTTCAGGATTCTTGCTATTCCTATTTGATTCTGCTTGATGATTCTTTGGATTTCTTCTGTGTCTGTTGTTATGTCCCCGTTTTCATTTCTGATTTTGCTAATTTGGATATTCTCTCTCCGCCTTTTGGTTAGTTTGGATAAAGGTTTGTCTATTTTGTAGATTTTTCTCAAAAAATCAACTCTTTGTCTCATTGATTCTACATATTGTTTTCTTTGTTTCTATTTTGTTAATTTCAGTTCTCAATTTAATTATTTATTGCCATCTAATTCTCTTGGGTGAATTTGTTTCTTTTGGTTCTAAAGTTTTCAAATGTTCTGTTAATTCACTAGTGTGGGTTTTTTTTTCCTGCTTCTTTATGTAGGTATTTAGTGCTATGAACTTTCTTCTTAACCCTGCTTTCATTGTGTCCCATAAATTTGGGTATGTTATATGGGCAATTTCATTGAATTTTAGGAAGTCTTTAATTTTCCCTTTATTTATTCCTTTACCCATTGATGGTTCAGCCAAGTCCTACTGCTAAATCTTACAGTTTTTTCTCAGTGTAAGAATTTAATACTGGTGATTAATCTCTTACTGGTGATGTTGTCTAGGTCACTGTATATTACAGAAACATACCCTTCATCATGATTTGTAATCCGCAGGCTATAACTTTGCTCTGAACATGCTGTACTCATGAAACACTTGTGCATGCAGTTCCTGGATCTGTTGAAGTCATTCCTCTCGTACTGCCTCACTGAGTTGATCTTCTTTGTGAAGTGTCACTTAAAACCTTAGTACGCAATGCAGACAAAGACCTGGTTCTTAGTAGCACACGGTTTTAAGAGCTACGTGGACCTGGGTAAGTTCTACACCATATCTTTAGTTCACTTAATTGTAAAGGACATGCATATGCAACAATTCAGTAGCATTGCTATAAAGTAGAGTGCATGCGAAGTCTGCTAATATTGTGATCTAAAAGCAAAGGTCTGCCATTTCCACACTTTTAAGAGGATTTTTGACCAATACATTTTGTACAAGATAATGTTACTTGTTGAGTTCACTCTCATGAACTATCATAGGGAGGAATCAGAAGAGAGACTTGTCATATCATTAGTTATAAAAAATCTGATAGTGCTGATTTAAATATCTTTACTTTAAGTTTTAAGTTTTGCATATGCATATACTTTATGTTGAGTATATTCCCCTCATACCTCCATTCCCTTCTTCTCTATTTTCTCCTTTATTTTTTTTGTTACATTGGGCATTTTATTCCTACCTATATGTCATATATCCCTATATGATTTTGTGTTTATATTTAATCAAGGCACCATAAGTAAGTGAGAGAAGATATGAGACATTTGTCCATATGAGATTGTGTTAGCTCACTTAAAATGATTATCTCCAGTTGAATTCATTCTCAAGTGAAAGACATGACTGTGTTCATCTTTATGGGTAAAAAAATTGCTTATATACTTTTCTATCTTTATGTGTGCAAACAGAAGATACAGCACATTTTTAAACCATTACTCTGTTGTTAGAAATCTAAGTTGATTCTATAATGTAGCTATTGTGAGGAATGCTGCAGTAAACATTGTCATGTGTCTCTGTGATGTGGAGTTGATTTGGAGGGTTTTTTGGGGGGGTCGGGGGGAGTAAACCTGTTGTGAAATCTTTGAGATTCCTTCATACAGACTTCCATAGAGGCTGAACTAGTTTGCATTCCAACTAGCAGTGTAAAGCATCCAACTAAGGAATAAGTGGCATCTGGGACACCTTTTATTTTATCTGAATCTGTTTGAAGCTGCCGTCAATACAGCCAGCCAGCAGAAGAGCATAACACTCCAACAGGTAGAAGTTCTACATATGTTTTACATCTGCCATTTCCCTTGGGGACTCATTGTGTGGATGATAGAATAAACCTTTTTGCTTTTCCCAAGTAAAGCAACCTACAGAAGCAATTGTGGACTCGGGGGAGGAGGGCTGTTTTTAGCTGTCCAAACACCTCTCTTAGGCTGTTTTGATTGCTAGTCTCTGATCTTTCTTCCACTGTTCAGTATCTTCATGTGAGATCTGGGATCCTGTAAAATCACATAACTGTGTGTCCCACTTGCCCACACACTTCCTCATCAGTGTCTCTCGTCTGTGCCCTTCTTCCTTCCTCATTCCCCTTGTGGTTTTTCTCTCTGTTCTACTTTTTTATCCCATTATGTGTGCCATTCTCCTGTTCTCTGATTCGGGAAAACATTACTTTCAGCATATATTTCATAGTGTACATGATGAGTGCATACTTGTTTTTTCAGTGACCTTTACTACAGAATTTAATAAATTAATCTAATGCAAAAAAAGGAAAAGCAAAAGGATGACAATTTATTTAAAAAGTAATGATGAAATACTCATATAAAATAAGCTTGGATTTATGTCAAATACATCTAATCTGCAATAAGTCATGCAGTATTCATTTTTAAATACATGGCACATTAAACATATTTTTGTTTAAGACATAAGATAGAGTTCAAATTCCTTATTTTTGTATTTTATATTCAAATGACTTTTCCTTATCAATTTCATTTTAGACTTTGTAATAAATCAGATGATAATTTCTGTAAATTTAAATTTACATATCATAATATTTCCTTGATGGTTTTTTGTATCTTATGTCACCAATGTTCTCCACGCCCCATTTTGCCCCATTTTAATATGTTTTAATATCTATAAGGATAAGATTTAAAGTTTTCCTATTCTTTAATATTTTATCAAAGTTGAATCACTGTCCAGAGGAAAAATACTTTCATGATTTGTCTACTCAGATAACCTGCAATTATCAAACACTCATATACATAGAGATACACAAACACAGCATTAGCTATAATAAGTGAAAACAAAACTAGACATCTACTTTTAAAGCTTTAGTTAAATAAAATATACCGCTTTAAAATGGGCATCTATACCACATGTCCTCCTTCTAAGGCTTAGAGATCACTGATGTAGGTGAAATAATTATAAAAACCAGGAGCATTGGGTGCCTACAAGAATATTTTTTTTTCAGAATACAGCAGAGTGATTGTAGATATGAAATTACAATGAGTGTAACAGACTGCACAGTCCTAGGTATTAGCAGCAAATCCAAGCCAGACAAAATCCCAGTATGGACACAGAAAGTGGGCACAAAAGCCCATCCATTGTTGAGGCGCTGTTGGCCAGTGATGGCTGCTGAAAAGGCACAGTCAGTTTTCTTTAAGGATGTGATCTCTGATCCAAGAATGGCAACACAAATCATATTTTATGAAATTAAATACAAACAAGCAAAACGAAAATATGGGAGAAGTTGGGGAAGGATGTAAATGTGATCAAAATACAGTGCATGAAATTCTCAAAAAACTAATAAAAAAATCTGTGATCTATTTTGAAAACTTTCAAAGAACATAGATAATTCACACAGAACAATAAGAAAAGTATAATCAGGTAATTAAAACAACAGATAAAATATTGAGCAAAGACTAAACAAAAGACAGTACCTAATATCTGCTAAAACATTAAATGTACTCAGTGTTATTATTGGCAGGATAAATATAAGTTAAAATTTTAATGATACATTATTATGTACAACAAAAGATAATAACAAAAGCTTTAAAGCAGCAAGTACAAATAGAAGGTGAGGACAAGACTCATGAATGGCTCTTTTTAAAAGCATGAATTTATTAAAAATTGAACTACTCTGGAAAATCATTTAAATTTCCTAAAGAAAAACACAAGTATTTCTATAGCCCAATAGTTCCTGTCTAAGGTAGACAGTACAGCTCTAAAACGGGAATATAGTTTATTCCAAAACATATATGGATAGCATGTTCATAAACACTATTGTTAAAATCCTAACTGAAATATATCAAAGTCTGTGAATAATAAAAAGGATACATATATATGATAGATAGATTGTGGACATCTGCACAACTATTAACAAGCACAAACTTCCTCATATGTACCATGAATGATTCACAGAAGCTTAACAGTAGGTGTAGAAACTAGCACTGAAATATTTTATATATTTATGTCAGCAGCAGAAAGCTTATATTGACCAGCACAACCTATAGCCATGAAAATCAAGATGCTGTTTTATTTGGGGGCTATAGATTAAGTGAGGAGTGAGCGACCTACATGGGTACTGGAAAGACTCAACGTGTGCATTGATTGCTGTAGAGGTAATGCGTTTGTACACATACACACAAAGTGATCATCTGGACCCCTGAGATTTGGTTGCATTCCAGTAATCTGTTGACTACGGCAGGGGTTAACCTAGTCACCGAGGAAAAGAAGATCAAATGTGAAAAGTAGGCAGTTGGTTTACTTCATTCTTACTGGTTGTTGAGCCAAGGCAAGGAAGAGCCTGTTCTTCATTAACATTCACTAGGAAAGGTCATGGTCTAACAATTCCTGGATGAGAAAACTGTTCCAAAGGCTGACCACAGGGCAAACTTTTCCCACATCCTTGATCTTTCCTCCCACTAAATATTAACTTTTAATAGTTCGTGTGAACCATCTGTCCAAGCTGAAAGTTTGGAAAATAAGTTTATATAACCAGTTTCTCAAGACTGGGGTATTATTATTTATTTTTTTAAGAGTATTGACTGAAAATTGCATGTTTGGAGTAAAATAAATGTGTTCAAAAGGAACTGCTGAGTTTTTTTTTTCTCCTTTGTCTCTGTTTTATCTGAGTTCAGACAACTAACTGGCATCTCAGATAAAAGGTCAACATGGTTTTGAGGTTTGAAAGATGTGTTCAATGCAGAATCTCACAACACACCCTGGATGTTCAGCCTTGGCTACTCTGTGGGTTTCATTATGTCCCAGTGATTCTGTGAACAAGGCTCAGTCCTGAGACCATTTCCTCCTCCACGCCTCATTCCATCATGCTCTCTGATCACCTCTTTAGGTCAGCATCCTTGCTGATGTCAGGCTTCGCTTGCTGCAGAAAGCTCAAACTTTTGTCTGCCACTTTCCACTCCTTCACTCTGCCCTTTGACGCCTGATTTTCAGTTGTGTTGACAAGCACAGCCCAAGGACCAGAATCTGCAATTCCTTATACTCATACCTAGACTAACAGCAATCCTTGGGTTCCAGTTTCATCCTAAAATCCTTAGTGCACCGCTGATGCTTGCATATCAAATAGTATATTCCTGTTTGAACTTACTCATTTCAAGTGCTAGTTGAGCTTTAACCAACTTACTGTCTTGTACTTTCAATTCTCTAAGGAACATTAGCGTGAATGGAGGCGTTCTGCCTGTACACAACGCTAAAGCCAAAGTGGACGTTGGGGTATGAGATGTTTTTCATAGTAGATTTTCTTCTTTCAGGCCAGTTACCCTAATCTTTGCTAATCTAAACTTCTGGGTATGAGCTAAATATACTAAAGTAAGCATAATCCTAAGAGAAACTAGTCACTTTTAAGATGTCAGGGTAAGTGTATTTGTGGTTTATGTCTGTTTTTCACAGATTTATCCCATAGTGTTCAATCCCTTATGCATGTTGCATAAAACAATAATTTTCATCCATTTGTGACAGATTTCTTTGTATCTGAAATGCTTACCTGAACATTCATGCATACATGTGCTTCCGTTAATCACTATGTGAGAATATATGTTTCCCAACACCATCTCATTGTTAATTAAAGACAATTTATAGAATATGATATGCCTTCTCGTTTGAGTTACGAGACAAAGTAGCAGATTGTTACAGTCTGTGCTCAAAATCTGCCCATATGGGTTAGATGTCAGTTAAAGATTTCGGTTGTTTCTTTTGATTCAGTCTGCTCCTTTTGTTTAAGTACATGTGTTTGCAGTTTTCAGTAGACCGTCATTACAGTGAAGTTGTGGTGATTTTTTTTTTTCTGTCCCTTTTGTTTAGTGTTCTGGACACCAGGCTCTACCTCCAGTCTGTCTCTGTGGGCTGAGTGCAACAGCAGTTACAATCTAGACACTAGTACATTCTGACAATAGACTATCAGGCGACTATAAAAGAGATACCTGTTAAGTACTAATTGATTTAAGGAGTAAAGAGCTATTGTGTATATTATCAGGTTAATTATTACAGGTATGAGTAGAAAAGCACAGGATGGGCGAACAGTCACTAGCGTCAGACTGTCAGATGGGAAGCGGAGTAAAGGGGCATACATGGGCAAAGGAATAATAGAAGGAAGGAAAATATGGGGTGGACATCTGGAGATTTGTGGTAATGACAAAATAAAGAGAGGAGAGAAAGGTGTGTATGAGATGTCACACATCCAGTCTGTCTTTAGGCCTTGGAGGATGTAACACTAAGATGAATGGGCATGGGAAAGGGGAAACATGGAAAAGGAAGGAAGGAAGAGAAGAGGAAAGAAAAGAAAAGGAGAACCAGAGTTAGAGTGAGAATAGGAGTAAGAGTGGAACAGTAAGATGTTAGAGTGCTAGGTACTGGCTGACCTACTGTTCTATTCAGATAAGAAACCGCTGTTTGCAGTGGAGCTGGTTGGCACTAACAGATAATAAAATGGCTGGCCTCTTCTTAGCATTGTGTTGCATTGTCTCACTGGCCTGGTCTGAGTATCTTCTGAGCTAATTGTTATAGGCCTTCCGTTTGTCTTGTGGGTCCCCAGGTCTTCTTATGTGTACATGGTTGATTATGAGGATGTATTGCACTTTGGAGTAAGCAGAGATTAAGGGAGTGGGGTGGAAGAAAAGGCAGGAAAAGATTAGATTTTTTTGATTTTATTTTTTATGGCATTGCTCAATTAAGCATGCTTTTGGTGGACATGGGGCATCTGAGAGCAATGACTGAACAACGGCGTGACTGTGGAATAAATTCTCTTCTTTACCACTTCATTATTCAAATATTGTTTAAGCTGCTTTTCAAAAATAGAAATTCCTATAAAAGACAAATAGTATGTTTTCAGAAATAAATGTAATAGGTTGTAAGAAAAAAGTGTCATCACACTCTTAAAACAGGTATGCATCATATCTTAGAATTAATTCACTGTATCAGATCAGAGTACAGATCCATTAATAACTGATTTAAGGCACAAAGACCATTATCCTTAGCAAAGTGACAGACTTGTACAGAATATCTTTAAATTACACACACACACATTAGTAGTAGCAGGATCGCCTCCCTCCTGCGTAGTCTTCCAAACAAGGTATGACTGATAAACTCATCTTGTGCTCTGCTACTGAAGTTGTCTCTTGACTTTTTCCTTTTACAATTAAGCACCTCTGGGATTAATTTAACAAATGAATACGACATGGGATAATCTCTTCAGTTTGTTGATTAGCAACCCAAATCCCATCTGCTACCTTAATTACCTATTAACACAGAGTTGACCATATTCAGAGTCTGGGAGTGAAGAAGTTTACATGTTTGACTCCATATCATTCAAATCAGTTGTGTATTATTTTTTTTGAGTCGTCTCTTACACGAAGATATAACATTAAGATTTTTTTCCTCGGGTCTAATTAAAAAAAAAAAAAAAACAAGCAATGCGTATAAAGTGGTTCAAGAGTGGTTCAAGGTTTCTGAGAAAATACTGTTCCAAACCATGAGAATAATCTAAAACTCTTTTATATATCTTTCCAGGAATGATGGTGAAATACTTCTTTTTATTTGCTGCTGCTGTGGCTGCTACTGTCTTTGTTCCTGTTCTGGCTCTGGGTACCAGAGTATGTGAAGATTGTATATTACAGAACTATATTTTAGATAAGGTTACCAAACAACCCGTTGACGAAATGTTGATGATATATATATATATATATATATATATATATATATATTGCTATGAGAAGGTTTCTTCAGTTATTCACCTATTTCACATAATATGAAGCTAGAAAATGTTCTTTTTTTTAATAGATCAAAAATGGAACCAAAGAATAGAAGGACTAAGAAAAAAGTCATATTTACATGACTAGAGTCTTAAAGTTCGGCCTTCATTTTCACTCCTTGGGCCCAAGTCTATGTTCTTTCTCAAAAATAATAAAAAGAAAAAGTGAATATAGAAAGCCAGGCAGCAAAGAAAAAGTAAAAGAGAAGGAGGGATGGAGGAAGAAAAATGATGGAAGCATAGATAAGAACTTCTTTGCAATTTACCCACCTTTCCAAGACTAACTAGAAGAAAATAAACTAAGAAGAACTGTTTTTGTCACTTTTTCTCCCAGATAATCATGTCTTCAACTGAGCTTTTATCATTTGTGATTCTGAGAATGCTACACATCAAAATTAAAAATGAAACTGAAAAGTACAATTACAAAGATGTGTGAGAGACTCAGCAATGGAATATGATGTCTGGATCTGATGGCTTATAAAAATAATACTTCTGTGCTAGTGATATAGCTCAGTGATAGAATATTTACCTCTATGTGTAACGTCCAGAGTTCAACCACAGAACTACAAAAGGATAGCAACTATGCTCACCCCCACAGTGACACACTTCCTCCAACAAGGCCATACCTACTATAATAAAGCCACACTTCCTAATAGTGCCACTAAGTATGGGCTTATGGGAGTCAGTGATGTTCAAACTACTACAGAGAGTTGATTGCCATAAAAGTAAATGAAACAAAATATCAGGAAAATAGACATTGCTTTATTCATTTATTATAGAGGTTTTAAATGTTTGGAGATGTCCCAAAAGAGGCAAATGCTATATGTTTCATTGAAATAAACGGATCAAGGGAATATGGAATATTTCAATGATATTTGTGGATTCTTGTGAGTCTCAAGGCCTTTCTTTGGTGTAGACCATAGCTGATTGCAATGAGAGAGGAACATATTTTGTAATCTGGTTCCTGAGAAAGGAGGTTGTGTCTGCATTACACAGAAATGTCTTCTCTTGACCCAAATGACAATTCTGGATTCTGACCATTCCTAAATTCATCTCAATAGTCCTGTGGTAACCAAGAAAGAAACATAGTACTCAAATTATACAGCATTATTTTTAAAACTGATAAAAGTTTCTGTAGTATGTGTGTTATAAACCACACATATAAAAAGATACCCTTTATGACTACTTATACTAATATAGGCTCTTTGGAAAACATTTTTCTTTATTATTTAATTAGAAAATAAAAGGTATAACTTTTTGTTAAAAAAAGAGTAAAGCATTCTAAGCTGCAAATTGAGTGAATTTCACTTATACTTTTTAATTCATGTGCTTGCAGACACTGTTGATCTTACATATAAGCAAAACGATATAGAGCCGGAAAGTGAAAAGAACACTTAGCCACACTCTCAAAATACACTCTCCGTTTTGGTTCTTACACATACGCTCACTTTGACAATGGTGGAAGTGCACGTGGTTCATCTGGGGAGTATAGGTTCTGCTTTTAGTTGCTGTATGGAGAATGAGCTAAGGCAGATAGTCAGTGAACAAGTAGTGTCAAACCACAGCCAATAACAAGAACTTCTATAAGACTTGAAGTGTAAAAAAATCTCTAAGAACAGCATAGCTTTGTACTGTTTTCAAGACGAGAACTTAGAAATCCCTGAAACATGCCTATTAATAGTTCCTGAACTCTGAACATTATTGTTTATTCATTGTAAGTTCTAATTGATGTGATACTAACTAATGATTTTCTGTTAGCACCACAAACGTCATAGAGCTCTCTATAATAAACTGATCACGGAATCACAAACCGATCCCCAAGAAGAAATTGTCAATGCGCACAATGCTTTCAGGAGGAAAGTGTCTCCACCTGCCAAGAACATGCTGAAGATGGTTAGTCCAAAGTACATCATCACCGGGGATGGCAGAGACACTGACGGTGCTCACTACATTGTTATATATAGTCCTGTGAACTGTGACCATGCCAAATGCTTGATCATTGCAGCAAATCTATGACGCAACAGGAGGAGAAACTGAGTTGAAGCAAATATAAATAACTTCTCCAGAGTCATCCTTGCTACAGGATAGAGCCAAAATCTGAGTCAGCCCACCTGCACTCCTGGGCACCTTCAGATATGTGACATTTATTTTAGAATTGGGATGTCCAAATTCAAAGCTAGTTGACCCCCCCCCCCTCACACACACACACACACTAGTTAAACAAACACTGGGAAAAAAAATCTACTAGCGAATTTTACTGAACTCCATGCAAATTTAGGAGCCTGGCTTTGCAGTGCAAAATCTGTTGGGTTCTATGACAAGAGAACTTTAGGGACCTTGTCCAGTATCCTTGGACCCAGGACATTCAAGAATAAAGTTCAGATAGAGTGCAGGCCCTGGAAAAGCAATCCTTCACCTGTGGTTCATAAATCAGATTTCCTCGTATCAGATATTTACATTATGATTCAGAACAGTACCAAATTACAGTTATGAAGTAGTATAACACAATAATTTTATGTTTGGGGGTCATCACAGCAAGAGGAACAGTGTTAAAGGGCGACAGCCTTAGGAAGGTTGAAAACTGCTGTCCTAGAAGCTGACCCTGATCGACAGTACCCTCTTGTAAATGATGGAGGGTGAGCAACAGGAGACGGGAGCTGTGGGTTTTGAAAATTCATCTCTGGACCACTTTAAAAATTAACAGTATTACTTGAGAAACAACACGATTTTAAAAAGATCAGTAGGTATTCATGTTGGTTTAACATTCAAAACGGCATTTGTTACTGCTAATAAATGTTCTTCAGCCAATCACATGTGAGTTCAAATCTACTGTGCTTCAGAAAAGGGAGTCTTATAATTTCTTAAACTACTTTATTAAGTTTCCACCTACAGTTGAGTACATTTTAAAGAGTCTCAAATATAATCTATCTTATTCCAATTCCTTATTGTAAAAGGGTTATCCATCCTCCAAGAGACCTTGATCTTAGTTATTTTAAGTTATCCAAATTCTTTTCTCCCAAAATGAAAAAAAATAACTACAGCTAAGAAGGCCTCTGGATTGAGAAGTCTTATTGCAAAAAAAGTTATTTTTTTGATCTTCTCAAGTTTCTCAGTTAGACACAGACATGAAAAAGTAATCTTTCTTACTTGAAGTATGGGAAGTCCTGTTTTGAGCTAAGTCAATCTAAAAAGTAATTCTATGAAGGAGCCACTAGATGGTAGTATATGTACACAGTTAATCATTCCCCGAACTTGAAGCAGATTGGCCTCTACTCTGAAGAGGGTTTGCAATAATGCTAATGTTGTTCCCTACATTGCTATAAAGTCCAGGGACCTTGGTTTATTAATAAAAATCTGCTCATCACAGCAAACCCAAACACAGAAGCAGAAGAAACTGAGTTTAAAAAATTGTAGATGTCCTTACATTTTTAGAGGATTTAACTCAAAAGTCTGTGGTTAAAACACTCTGTAATTGTGATTGACAGCGTGTCACAGGAGCAGACTATGAAAATGCTGGCAGTGAGATTTTCAGCATGTCACAGCTACTCCCACCCAGCTGTTTCTGAGCTGTATGTAATAAAATGTTTCAACTTAGTACATACTATCCTTATCCCACCGACATGAAGCGTTCCGAGCCCACGAGGTTAATTGACTCAAATTCTCTATCGTGTGATCCTTCAAAGCTGTAAAACTCTGTGCTTCCTCTTCCCTCACATATAGAGATAGCATTACCGCCTGATTTTAGCTGCTGCAGGGAAGAACAGGAATAACACAGTAATAGGTTCTAGTGACATCAACTGCTCCTTCGTTTTCCTCATAATTTGAGGCAGAGACAGGTAACTGCTTTGTTCACAGAGATAAATTTGTTTGCCGAGCACATACAATGAGACTCAGAATAGAACAGCTTTGGTGTAAGGATCATCACACTAAGTCGGCTGTATAAAACTTTGGTTATGGCTTAAACATCATCTTTACAGCAACTGAGACTCAAAGGGCTCAAAATGACATGCTTAGGGTTGTACTTGCTTGTTTCTCTGTTTTGTGATTAAAAACACTGACCCGAAGGAACACGTGGGGGAAAGAGGTTATCTGGCCTACAACACCAGATCACAACACGTCATTGAGAAAAGACAGGCCATGGAATGAAGCAGAGACCATAGAAGAAAGCCTCTTACTGGTTTACCTTTCATGGCTTCCCCAGCCTGCTTTCTGATGACACACAGGATCACATATTAGAAGTTATCCATTATTAATCAAGAAATGTTCCCCAATGACTTGCACAAGATGATGGAAGCACTCCCTCAGGTAAGGTTCCCTCTTTACAGGTGATTCTAGTTTGTCTCAAGTTGATACAGACTAACCAGACAACAGCAAAGTAGCTGACCAGTTATTGGGATAGCTTTTTAATTATTGATCTGCCTTTCTGAAATTATTCAGCCATACTCTAAGAAATGTGCTGTGCTCTGAATGTTATGATCTAACTATGAACTTGCGGTTTCCCAGGAATCTAAAAGGAAGTGCACATTTATCTCCTTTGTGTTCCTTCTAGAGTGTTTAATGCAAATGAAACTATGTGAGAGGTCAGTTTCTCCAAGAAATGGTGTCACAAGCCCTGTATTTTTAAAAGTTGGTGAATGCTAATTTCAGTTGGTTTCCGGACTTTGCTTTTCTTTCTTGCCTCATAGAGTTGGAGTCCCGCAGCTGCAGCAAATGCGAGAATCCTGGCGCGATACTGTGACACGTCAATGAGCGACCCACTTGAGAGAAGACTTAACAGTATGTATGTGTCTCTATTGCACAACTTGTATTAACCAGCGTTTCCAACCCTGGGAAACTCCTGAAGAATACACTTTAAAATGAGGAGGTTGGTTTTTATTGGACGACTCCTGAAGGTTCAGCCCACGATTTTTAGTTGGAGCAATTTGGGACTGAACTGAGACCAAATAACATGCTGGAGTTCCAATAGAGGAAGCTGCTCACCTCAATTGGAACCAAACACGATAAAACAGAAAGAATTAAGTTAGGAAGTATACAGTTGGCATGAACGCCTTGAAAGACCCAACCCTGCTGGGTAGGCTCCATGTCTCAAAGCTTCTACAACCTCACAAAACTACCTGCATCCAAAGAACAAGTCCTCAACACGCGAGACTTTGTCATGCATGTTAGACACAAACTACCTTTAAAAACATAAACAAAAATTTGAATGAAGAAAAGGCCCCCCAAAACCTCACAGATACAAGCAACTTGACAATGATAAGTTAACAGATTCACTCTACGCTGACACCTGTCCTTGACGGTGGATTGTAGCCTGATTTACCATATCATTCTTTATCATTTTTAACATGTGGGGGTCCTTGGGTTTAGAGTCTATGTTCTGATCAACAGGAGAAAGGAATGATGACCAGCACTGTTTAAGGATTGCATGCATCTGGATACCTAGGAGCTTTCCTTTCAATGTTATCTCGGTTGTTTATAACATCAGAATGGGGATTTCCTTGGCTTTGGAACAATAACACAGCTAAGTACTGAGTTATAGGCAACTGTCGAACTACCCAGAGGAACAATTTGGAGTGTTCAAAAGTGGACTTGGTTTTGTCATATAAATTAAATAATTATGATACAATTTTTAGTGCATTGTACAGAATTATATAAAACTGTATGCATTGCTTTCTTCCAAACTAACATTTAAAAGTACAACTTTATATCTAAAGATTATTGAAACTCTTATGCTAAGGTGTTGAGCAGTTGGTTGGCAATGGGGGGATCTTTTCTAGAGAAAGGCAGAATGTTTCTCAATACCATAACTCACCCAGAGAATGCATGACAACTGGATCTAATATCTTTTGAGATTGTGAGCCCTCTTTTTAACTGCTTGCAAAAGAGCTCATGCAGACTTTGCCCACCCTTCTTTGCCTGACAAGAGACAGAGATTTAGATATCTGTAGACTCTGTGTGGTGGTAGTAAATGCCTTTAATCCCAGCACTTAAGAAGCAGAAGCAGGCAGATCTCCGTGAGTTCGAGGCCAGCCTGACCTACAAAGGAGTTCTATGAAAGCCAGGATTGTTACACAGAGAATCCCTGTCTCAAACAAATCAAGACACACACACACACACACACACACACACACACACACACACACACAGAGAGAGAGAGAGAGAGAGAGAGACATAGACAGAGAGTGAGAACAGAGAGGCAGAGAGAGAGAGAGAGAGCAGTTATCATTTCAAAGGTTTCTCATCATCTATTACCAATTTTTCTTGAGCACCACATGCTCATGCAACAAAATGAAGATTTTTCAGAAGAGAAACAACTATAATTTTCAATTATAAATCGATGCCTAGATGATCATTAAAACATTTGTGAAAGAAAATGAGGGGGAAAATGTATTCTATTTTTAAAGATTATTATAGCTGGGTGTGGTGCTGCATGCTTTTAATCTCAGCACTCAAAAGGTAGAGGAAAGTGGATCTCTGTGAGTTCAAGGCCAGCCTGGTCTACCAAGTGAACTCTGGGACAGCCAGAACTACACAGAGAAACCCTGTTTCCCAAAACTCAGAAATATAGAGAGAAAAAAAGAAAAAATAAAACAACATTATACAGTCATTTCCTTCTTTTTCAGATACATTTTGTGGAGAAAATATGCACTTGGGACTTTACCCCTACTCCTGGTCAAAAGTAGTTGAAATGTGGTACAATGAATCCAAATACTTCACATATGGAGAATGGCCATCTTCAGACGATGACTTTGAAACAAGTCATTACACTCAGGTAATCTATAACCTTTCAGATACAACCATAAGTGGATATACATGTGGGTCAAAGATAAGTACTGGTTCTCCTCTCAGGCTCAGGAAAATGACCCTTGAAATCCGAACAATACAATTGCCTGAACGTGACCAGATATATGAAAACACCACTTACTGTGCCATTGCAGGCAGAGGAAATTCCATGTGGTCCCACCTCTTAGGTAACAAGTGCTGGCTGATCTTTGGTTGCTGAGAAAAAGACAGTGTCAACCCTATACATGTCTACATATGAGCCATGCCAAATGAACTCAGTAGATTGAATATACAATGGGTACATATCTAGATATTTATGTAACAATAATGATTATTAAAGAATATGTAACAGGGGCTGGAGAGGTGGCTCAGTGGTTAAGAGCATTGCCTGATCCCACTCCCAATTCCCAGCAACCACATGGTGGCTCGCAACCATCTGTAATGAGGTCCGGTGGCCTCTTCTGGCCTGCAGACATACAGACAGATAGACTATTGTATACATAATAAATAAATATTTTTTAAAAAAGAATATGTAACAATAATTGTTATTAAAGAAGGAATGAGGGGTTCATGAAGGAACTTGAAGTGGGGGCAGAAATGATTTAGATATGGATCTCATGTCTGATGTTTGCAGTACACATATTTTTGTTTATTTTTTATGATTTAATAAAACTAAATGGCAAGCACTACAACTGTAAGTGGACAACATGCTTGCCAGAGTCTTTATATGGATTCTGGAAATCGGAACTCTGGGCTTCATGTAGAAAAGGCATATGTTTTGTCTACTGAACAATTTCCCAACTCAGTTAACTTAGCTTTTTTGTTTGTTTGCTCATTTTTTTGGGGGGGGATTTGGTCTGGTTTGGGTTTCGGTTTTTGGAGACAGGGTTTGTGTGTGTGTGTGTGTGTGTGTGTGTGTGTGTGTGTGTGTGT